TGAGTCATCTCCTCCCAGTCTGGAGGAAAATGGGGGTGGGGAGCATAGACAGCTGTAGGAGGACAGTGAACTAACTAGAGGCTAGGGAAATCTAGAGACCCTTGAAGGTCCAGGGAGAAAACAGGAAAAGGGCTGGGAAGGATCATGCACGAGCCCTAAATCCACATCCAGGGAATGGGTGTGAGCAGTCCAGAGAGCCTGGGGCATAGGTTTCCAGGAATGTGGAGAGGCCCAGCTGAGCCCTAAACTGGTCCAGGGGAGGAGGGGAAGTTCAGCTGGGGCCTGAAGCTTCCCAAGCAAGGCAACAAAGGTTGGGGCAGCAATATCTGGAAAGCGCTGAGACTGTAAGGAGGAGACACACCCAGCCATTTAAGAGGGTACTCTCCCCGCAGGACCCAGCCTGAGTGAGCAGGGAGGGTGCCATGACAGCCTACCAAAAGTGTGATTCCCACCCCACCCAGCACAGGTGGGCAGGGGGGCCACCAAGCCTCTGGGCCCAGAAGGGTGGTGGAGGTAGTTGGGCTAGAAGGAGAACGCAGAGGTGGAGACAGGAGACCAGGCCTGCTTCACTGCTGCTGTGCCTTGAGCCAGATGAACCGTCACCAATATTAATGACCGGAGAGAGGGCAAGGGGGCAGGAAATCGGAGCCGGCTCCTGTGGAAGCGGTGACTCAGCGTCCAGCCGGCGGGAGGCGGGCGGCGGCAGGGATGCAGCCTGAGGGGACCTGTCGTTCTCCTGACCCCATGATGGCACTCCTGGGGGACAACTTGCCGGGAAGAGTGTAGGCAGGGAGGCGGCACCGGGCGGCGCAGGCACTGGGCACAGAGGGAGTAAAGGGGAAAACCAAGGCTCAAACCCAAAGCAGGTTGGTGTGGGAGGAGGCCCAGGCGGGCAGCAGAACAAAGCCCCCCCCGCGGGGCTGGGCGGCCGCTGCAGGAAACTGCTGGCCAGAAACCACTCCTCGGCATCCCAACGCTCTTCGGATTACTATTATTTTGCAGCTTGGGTTGGTATGGGTGTGTGGCTGGAATCTTTCCCTTCCAAACCCGGCTTTGAATCCCGCCTAGTGCTAGTATGGGGCCTGGGACAAGTGCCCAGGGATGTGGCCAGCCCTTGGCTTTCCCACCTGTAAAATGGGAATGGCGGTGGTGCCAACCTGCCAAAATTATCTGCAAGTAGTTTTGCCCAATTCCTGGGAGAGAGTAGGAAATGGTCATTATTCATGTGTCAATTCCTTGGTCCTTGATCCAGGGATAAGGAGGCAGAAGGAAAAGCTAAAGGCTCAAGAAACCAAATATTGCTTCAAGAAGAGTGACTATTCTCCCCTTATGCTGACAAAGTATAATGGAACCAATGTCCCCAGGAACAAGGGACCCATTTTCTATTCCACCTGTCCAGACAGACCCCA